AACTCGGCTTGGAGAAGTTCATCTTACATTATCGGGTATGAAGTCCGTATTTGGAGTACGAGAGGTTGTAATTGTTGGACATTTATGTGGATCTTACGGAAGAAAATCAGATCCGACTAAAGTTGATGCAATTGGAAGGATGAAAGAGGATTGTGATTCTTTAACAGAGGTTCGCAGGTTTTTGGGTGCATGTGTATTTTATCGAATCTGGATCCCTTATTTTGCTCACATAGCGGATCCATTATATGAATTTTTACGCAAGGGTTACCGATTTAAATGGGAAGAAAGGCATATTCAGGCAATGCAAAGATTGAAGAAATTATTGATGTCACCTCCAATATTGAGGAAGGTTGATTATAAGTGCAATAGACCAGTGATTCTTACTATGGATGCTAGTCCAATTGCCGTTGGATGGGCTGTGGGTCAAGATGATTCAGATGGGAGTAGATTTGCAGTTCGATTTGGGGCTAAAGTTTTAAGTATTCGTCAGTGTGGATATTCGCAAGTCAAAAGAGAACTTTGGGGAGTCGTTTCAGCTATGAAAGCTGAAAAGGACTATTTGATTGGGGCAGTAGTAGTAATTGAAACAGATTGCTTGCCATTGCTTGGAATGATTATTAACTGTGCGATGCCAGATATTGCGATGTTGAGATGGATTGCTTATATTAAGTCACTAAATCCATAATTTAAGCATATTACTGTAAAAGACAATTTAGTAGCAGACATGCTATCTCGAGCAAGATACGAGAGGGAGGACGAAATGGGTGAAGACATTGATGACGTTGGATTGAAATTCTATTCAATATCAAATCTCAACATAGAAGACAAGCTATTTCTTGGAGAGTCTTATGAAGGAGAATTATTGGATATTGGTCATTACTTGAATACCTTGACTAAGCAGGGGAATTGGTCTATAGAAAAATTCAAACAAATAAGAAAAAAAGCATATGGATTTTTACTTCGAGATGGATTCTTATGGAAGAGACCGAAGAAAGGAATTGGGATGCCACAGCGAGTGATAGGCAAAAAGGAAGAAAGACTAAAATTATTAAAGGGGTTTCATGATAGTTTATGGGCAGGGCATAGAGGAATCTGGGCTACTTTTGCTAAACTCAAGGAACGATATTGGTGGAAAAATATGTATCGAGATGTGTTCTCATTTGTAGAGTCATGTGAAATTTGTCAATCGTATTCTAATATCCGACATCGAGATGGTCTTCATCCTACGTATCCTCTGGCTATTCATTTTAAATGGGTTGTTGATTTGGTTATTATGCCGGTCGGGTTATGGCAGATGAGATATTTGGTTTTAGTTCGTGAAGATTTATCAAATCAAGTAGAAGGAAGAGCATTGAGGACAAAATCTACAGAGGGGATTTGTAGGTTTTTGTTTGAAGATGTCATTTGCCATTACGGGTGCGTAGGAAAAATCACTGCAGATCGTGGAGAATTAAATGCACAAGAAGCTTGTAAGTTCTTTGAAAAATATGGAGTTAAACTATCACTGACTACTGCTTATAATCCAGAAGGGAATGCAAAAAGCGAACGTGGTCACCCACCGATTGTGAAAGCATTAGTTAAAGCTTGTAATGGGAAAGTTAAAAAGTGGCCACGGCTTTTGTCATTTGCATTATGGGCTGATCGAACAACACATAGCTCGGTGACATGATATATGCCAGTAGAACTTATGACACGTCAAAAACCAATTATGCCGATTGAAGAAAAGGTACTTACTTGGAGTATGCTACCATGGGAAGATGGATTGACAAGAGAAGAACTTCTGGCTATTAGGATTCGACAATTGGAGCACAGAACGGAAGATGTCCAGATAGCATTGGAAAGGTTAAAAAGAGCTAGGTTACAAAACAAGGCGCGATTCGATAAGCAACATCGATTGAGACCAAAAGCAATCGAGGAAGGCGGCTGGGTACTTGTTTATGACAATAGTCTGGATAATCAACATAGTACTTTGCGGAAATTCTCAAAACGTTGGTTTGGACCATATGTGGTAACAACTGTTCATGATAATGCGACTTACTCATTACGGGAGTTAGATGGTACAAAATTGAAAATACCAATTGTAGGGAAGTGAGTAAAAATATTTAAATGAAGACACATAGAGATGAATATGGAAGACCTTAATGAAGGTATAGAGATTCCGCAGTAAGAAGATGAAAGTGATTTGGATAATAAAGGTGACGAAGACGAACTGGACAAATACGTAGAGGATATATTCTGAATCAAACAACAATTGGATAAATTGGTGCATACCGGAGGATGCACAGGTTCAGAGGGCGTGGATGTCGTGTTGTAACACGAGTATATAGTGAAAATAAAAAGAAAGGGGAATTTTATTAATATTCAGTTACCTCGAATATTGGGAGCATCGACCAATTCCAGTGCAAATACTGAGTGGTCAGGTTCAGTCGCTCCGTTACAGTCAGCCGGGGCATACTGAAATGCTCCATTCGATTCCAATAACGGGAGTCAGCAGGAAGAGAAGGGCCAATTCACACGACGGGTTCGAAGAGCCAATTGGATCCAATTTCGAGAATCCAATCCGGGTCCTCTTATCCAATATGAGACCTGAATTGGCCGGTCAATCCAATGCAGTCTAATTACGGGAAATCTAGGTCTTACTACGGGTCTTAGCCAATCTGATGCGAGGACCAATTTGACCCAATTACGGAAACATCCAGGTTACTACTTGCATCTTTCCCAATATGGGACTTGAATTGGTCGGGCGACTCAATGTGGTCCCGATTACGGGGTTCGATTCTGTTTCAGGCTGTCTTGTTCTCTGTGCCGTTTCAGGAAACGTTGTTTTCGGTAAATGGATTTCTTAAAGGTAAAAACGGAGGAGAAAACTCTGATGGCGAGAGCCAATTTCGGATCCAAGCTTGACGGTGGGAGCCAATTCCGGATCTAAGACGGAAGATTGAAGAAATTCAGAGGATAAGGTTAGGGGGGTTTTAAGGTTGAAGGGGAATTAGAGGAGCAGGGAGTTTTTTCATGTTTTGGCAAGGTTACTAGTTCGGTTTTCATTAGAGGTTTTTGAAGATCAAGGGGATTAGAGAGAGGAGCTTCATGCTTTGGGTCGAGGAAGGAAAGACATAGAATTTGGATTTTTTTCTTCGGAGAGTTTTGGGAAGACTGAGGCAATCGCTGCTGAAGTCAGTATTGTAATGGTGAATCTGGATTTTTAATGAAGTGGGTTTGAATACTCTTGACTATTTTGTGAAATCGAGTTACGTCTGTGATTGAAGGATTAAAAAGGTGTCTATAGGATTGAGTATGCGGAGTGAATGAAATTTATTGGATTAATCTAACAAGACAGTCAATGGATACAAGATCGTAAGTACAAAGCGATATTGAAGATTAACAGTTTGGGTTGTTCGGGGTTCTCTGTAATGTCTAGAGACCTATCGGCTGGGGCAAAAAAGACTTCGACAAGCAGTCGAAGAGCACCCGTATAGATTTACGATACATTGTTGCAGTCGTTTATATTCTAGCAGTCAAAAACTGATAGACTGCTTGACTATCGGCGAATCTCCATACTACCTTCTACAACCAGACGCCCGGCGCGTTCTCGAGCAGGAAAGCACGTAATACGACAACGTAGTTCTTAGTTAAGAGTATATATGGAACCAAGAAAGAAGTATTTTTAATTCTTGTCAATGCCTTTCTAATCCTTAGTTTTATTTCATGACTTTTTGATTTTTTGTTTTTAGCAATAGCCATTCTAATTCAATACTATATCATATTTGAGTGACTTTCAAATTCTTTTAAGTAATATAAGAGTATACAAAAGATTTTTTCCTTTGAGAATCATATCCTTAAAAAATACTTTACAAAGTCATAACTATACTCAATATGCACTAATTTCAATAAAACCAAGGATTCTTTTATTTTTTATGCAAAGCAATCTATAGTCATATATGCAAATTGAATAATTACAAGACTTGGTGAAAACTGGCACTCAACATGCCACTACATAGACAACCATTGTCCCAATTCAAGAGAGCATCAAAATTCTTTGATTGTTCTTTATGACCCTATGAATTTCTTAACCACCACTTAATATTCTATTTTTATTGTAGTGCTACTACTGATTATCATAGTAGCTTTTACCATCACAACTTTGTAAAATCTAGTATTGTTTTGTAAGGATGCTAACACTTTGTAATTTTTAATTGCACCACCTTGCTTGGAACATTTGTTGACATCATCCCATCCCATCACAGTTCTAACATTGTCACAACTTGAGCTTGGTGTATTCAACTCCTCCAATTTGAAATGAAAATAGGGTTTTAGTTTTGACTATATCCCACATGTTCTTGCACCTTTGTAACATCTTCATCTTTGATTTCCATGTGTGCTGTAACTTGCTCCTCCTTATATAGTTAGTTCCTTTCTCCTAAATGGGCATTCTAACTTTCAGCATCCAAGTTGATTGTAGTTGATCTGCTCGAGATACTCCTTACTCCTCTCCCGAATGTTGTTTCACAGTGGGAGTATTACTCACCAGGTTCACTCAACAATCTTGCTCATCTGAAAGCACATTACATTGACTGTTCTCTTATGAGTAAGAAAATATCAACTAACGCTTTGATACCATGATAAAACTAAGGGAGATTCACAGAACACCAACAATGCAATCAACAGTACATTCTATTTTGCTTCCATGATTAATGTCTCTACTGTTCGAGCTAAAGTACAGATTAGCAGCGGCTAATCAAATTCTCAGTTGTTCTAAATTAGGATTAGGGTTACATCTGGAAGACTAAGCTTTGCACACGATATCTCAAGACACGATGTTTGTTGTTATCTCAAGACACGATGTCTCGTTGTTGTTATCTCAAGACACGATGAAACAGTAATTCTTTTGTCCAAAGTGTTGAATGTTCTGGAACAGAACGTGGATGAGTACGTTCCTTTTCTTCTTTTGCGTGGCACATGGATGAATACGTTTCATTTCAACATATACCTACTCCAGTCTCTCATGAAAGGGAAAAATCCGACCATATATTAAATCGTGTCAGGTGTTCGGAGTCACCACAAACACCTCAAATTACCCAAGGGTTACAATTTATTCAGAAATATCACACGTTCGATCGACGTTTTTATCCAGTTCACTATGGTGAGTATTGTTCCTATGCATGACTGAAACTCATGCAGATCGGCTTCTGTGTTTACAAGGCGAAGAAGGTCACGGGTCGCCCATTCACATTTTGCAGTGGGCGAGCATTGTCAACCTGCGATCACAACGCAAACGCACTTGTGACATGAGCTACCGTGATATTGACTCACCCATTTTCGAATAAAACCAACAACTCTAAATTCTTCATTTTTCAAGTTGCAAATTCCGATTCCCTGACGTCTCAATTCTATCAGTTGCGGCACGTACCGGAATGGCTGCTCGCAGTTGGTTGAATTGCGCAGGTGAGAATGTCGCAAGCTGCGAACACAAACCCACCCACATTAGTAACATTAGTCATCACCCAAAGCGTGTCACGTGCAGGCGACTTTTCTCTACATATCAGCACTGCTAGCTAAGTTTCTACCGCCAAGTTGATTCGTCAGTAAATAAAAAGAAAAAAGAAACAGCCGCTCGAAAATTACAACCGTAGAACTTTTTACGCTTTAGATCATGTTCCTTGACTGTGTGCATTGGAGCCTGCGTTATGACTAGCTGTGTTGGAGGTTTGGGGAACACCTTCCCACACCTTAGCAACCAGATCAACCTGGGGGAGGGTGACAGATGGAACGCTCGGAGTCAAAATGGGACGACAAGAGGCTGGCTTACCTTTGCGATGACTGCCCAGTTAACGCCCTCTGTGCAGGGAGGGGTGGTGAGAGAGCCGTTGTAGCGGTAGTAGGCACCCTTGATTTCCTTGAAAGGCAGCTGAATTCTGATGGTTGTCCTGGTTGTCACTGGTTGAGTAACTGGTGGCAACTGGGGGAAGAACTGCACAGCAACCAACGTGGCATGAAGCCATGGGTAGGCAAAAGCAGGCACTCCCTGTTCTACCTATTGGTTGAGCACTGTACATACAGGGGATCCTTGACCCTCGAGTCCGTGGATGTTGTGTCTAGGTCATGGCGAAGGCCGTCAACGCATGCAAATGATGAGGGAGCTGGAACAGAGATTCGACATGGGGTGCGTGAGGTGGCGAGGTGGATTGAGTTCATTCCCTACCTGAGCCAGGAAGCTATTGGTGTCATCAGCCTCTTCCAAGGTGAAGCGCACAGCAATTACTGTCGTGCGTTGTGGAGTTACATTAATGGATGTGTGCACTAGGTGGAGCTCCATCTCTTGCCTGGAAGGAACAATTGAAAACCATTAGTAGCAGTGGATGCTCTTCTTTGTTCCCGTTCCCTTGCCTTTCCAAAACGAAGGTGATGAGGGTCAAGGTGTGCAATTGGTAGTGCGTACCTGATGCCAAAAACCGTGTGTTCGCTCGGAATGTGGAAGTGGAAGTGGCGGAGGAAGTAAGTGATGCCACCGACTGTGATTGTACCAGCATTTAACGGGGATACTATTTCCACCTGGACAGAAGCACACACAACCACAGGTTGATGAGCTTGGAAGCCGAAAATATAAGCTTCGTGAATAAGGTGGACGTCAGGCTTGGCCCACTGGACAGGGGTGTAAGTGACAAACGGAATGCTGCAAATACGGCAACCAAGCGACTGGCATCACAGTGCAATGGCGTTCAGGAGGACTGTTGAAGACGATGATTCAGCGCGCTAACCGATGCATGCAGCAAAAGTGAGGGAATCGTCAGGGTTCATGACAAACCGTTGGGGTTTTCCCGTCGGTGAATATCTCAGCTGTGACAATCGCTTGGGTGTATGACCTGGTCAAATCGCCGTTGATCCTGGGGATGAGGTTGTTTGGAACGATGTTAATTGGCGATTGAAGTAGTCCAGTCCCGCACGTCTGGGAGCATGGAAGGTTGCCCCAGTCGGTTGTGCCTAGGTTGTAATTGTAAGCTGCGCGTTGGAAACAAATTTAGTCAGCAACAACGTGACTTACATCAAGATCAGGAAAGAACAAAGGCAGTGAGTCTCATTCACAGCACTGGTCAACATCATATGAACCGCAGGAACCATATGAACTCCCGAACGCGTCACGGAGGAGGCAGCTCCATAACTGGAGATGGATGCCTCATGGAATACATGCAACGAAAGACGGACACACGACGAGGTTTGAACCGCCTGTGCACGATCACATGCAACAGAAACGAACTCGTATGACCGAAGTACTGTAAATTCCCACATGAGCATGCCAATCGGCTTCTCAACAGGAAACTCCTACAGTCTCCTACATGACCCAGAACTCCGAACACTGTCATATCGGCAGCTGAGTAGGGCGAAAGTGAGCTCACAAACTGCACAGGTCAAGCAATTGGGGTTGACAGGAGGGCAGGTTTGCGCAGACACAGTCCCAGGGAAACTGAGGCAGCAGAGCAGAACCCATGTCACCAGCAGGCAAGCCCCGGTCAAGCCAGCAGCAGCGGCACTCTTCATGATGCAAAGAAGCGGCGATGCCACAGTAGAAAATCCAACACTGTTGTTGCACCGCAGGTGGCTGCGTCGATGAGAGCGAGCTGAAGCCGGAGCAAGAGTGCTAGTGTAATCGTGTGCCTTGTCCAGCTTCTCCCTGGCCCCTTTGTAGCAGTGCATGGGGACTGGGTTGTTTTTATTTTATTATTATTTTTTAAATATGGTAATATATTGAGCATGCGTGATTCGTCGTCCCTTACCATGTCTGCACAGTACATGGAAACCAGGACGAGGCTGAGCTCACGGCGCCATTCCAGATTGAATTTGTTTCCACTTTGCTTTTCCTTGCCAACTCTCCATTTGCATTACCATGCTGTGAACCATCAGTCTACGTGACACCCACCAGAATCCCAACTTCTGTCTACTTTAGATGAGTGAATTCAATGTCTTGTTATTTTCTGTTTTATTGTTAGTACTTAAGTTTGGTTTCCTGTTCGGGTGGGCGGGTGGTATCTTTTGGATCGTATTCAAGTCTTTCGCAAATTGAAGTGAAAAGTGTGTTTCTAGCCTGTAGCACCATTTGTTGTGACTATAGCATGTTGAAGTAAGTGGGTTACTTTTTAAAAGGTGAATCGTATGTTCCGGTTTGTTGTGAATTTAATGATAAATTACTGTAATACAATATTCTTTGTTTTACGGTTAGCGTCCTTTGGATATGTGTAGAATATGTAATCGGATATTAAAATAGTAATATGTGGACTCGAAATTTGTCAATCATGCAGCAATGTTTAGTTATGAGGTAGAAACGCTTCAAATGATAATAATAGGGCGAGTGTTTACCTTCTTAAAATATTTTCATGGAACTGAATGCAGATTGATAAATACAGCTTTGCCATTATTTTCTGTCCCAAAATTAATTAATGTGGATGTTTATGTTCATAAACGTTTATTGAACATTCCAGTTCTTTCCCACATTTTAATTAATATTTTTTTTTTTTATATTTTCATTATATTTGACTGCTTTCAGACAACACGTTAAAACATGAACTGTTACATATATCTCCAGCTGTCCCTAATATTAGTGTTCTAAAACACACATTTTCAGATTTCATGCTTTTATTTGCAAACATAGTTTTCAATATGTTTGCGCCATTCTCAAAGCAGGAAGGTCTCTACTTCAAATCATATCAAAGCTATGATATTACTGTCATAAAGTCATGAGATTTACATTATTTTCCTCCAACGTGTGTTAGAACTTTGGAATTTCAATTTACAAAATTAACATTTCCTCCATCCAACTTTCTTTGTATAATCATCATTTATCCATCCAACTTTCTTTGTATAATTATCATTTATCCTATAAGTACACACTTATTTTGTATAAAGTTTCCAACTTTTCCTAAATTTTCTTTTCTTCGTCTTAAAAAATTTAGTTTGCTTCAATCAAATATTTATATTTTATATATATTTAAGTGTTTAAATTTTTTGGATTTGTCTATTTAAATTTTTTTTTTGGTTTGAATAAATTTTGTCAAGTGATTAAACAAATAGTACAAAAAGTTGAAAATATCAGAATATTTTCTTAATTACAACCATATCCAATGCTTCTAGGATTTGCAAAAGCTTGCATAATATGTTTATGGTTGAGTGATAGTGTAAACTTAAAAATTGTAAACAACCAATACAAGTTTAAAAAGCCAAAATTTGTTGCAAAAGACTGAAGAATTTCATCCATTTATTTGCTTTTGCCTCCATACTTTTGAGTCTATTCTAAATATTTTATAGTTATAATTCACTATGTCACAAAATATTATAAAATTTAAAGAATATATATTACTAAATTGTATAATATTTTATATAATTTTTGATTTTTCAAATATTTTTAAGTTTATGAAGTTGATAGACTCTTGGCTTGGTTAATATTTAGTACATTTGATTTAAATAATTTATGTCCATTGAATGTACAAAAAAGACACAATCATGAAAATTTTATAATACATATATTTTATTATCAGAAAATGACCATTGAAATAGTAAATAAAATATATACACAATTTTGATCTTTATTGATTTTTTTGTTTAAACAACCTTTATTGCTTTGATTTTAATAGCCATCACTACATAAAGGTAGTAGTTTTGGTAGCCATTTTAGGCTCAATGCCTTGTATTTTCTTCCTTTCAAACCATCTTAAATCATGTAATTACAATAATAGGCATATGAAGTTGCCATGAAGTTGTAATAAAGTCAAATAAATTTACAATGAAGAGCCTTCTATAAAATTGACAATTGCAATGAAAACAAATCAAGTTATAATAAAGATTTCTTAGCAAATTGTTTTTAATATCACATGGTCAATTTATAATCTGATATTAAAAAAGTAATGTATGTCAACATCCAAGTTATTAAACAACAATGTGTATTTTATTGCAAAGACCACGTGCTAGGTCTAAATTGCACAATAATATTATAGTAACCTCAATTTTCAATACCAAATAGTAAGACAAAACACTTACAATTGTAATGATGTTCGAAAACTTTGGTCCATATGTTATTATTTGGTCATCTTAAGAAGCAATAATATCCACTCACAAAAATATGTATTCATAGCTTAGAATGTAATTTTCAATGATAACATTGATTTCATTGACCAAGATGTTTTTTGATATCAAAATAGTTTGCCCATCTATAAATCTTTGTGTTATGTAATAGATAACTATTATTTTAGGATTTTGTTGATCAATGGCACCATGTACAACAATAATTACAATATAAAGATGCACCTAAGATGTAAATACTTTCTATAATAGGATATTATTTTGAAACACCACCAAATTCATAAGTATGTTAGAGACAATGAGCCAAAGTTTTTTTTTTTTTTTTTTTTTTTTTTTTTATTCAATTAAAAAATATCACATCATTTTGTCTAGTGAAAATATTTCTAAAAACTTAATAAATAAGCTTGTGATGTTTACTCATTGTTAAACATCTAATTTTCAAAATAAATAAATAAATAAATATAATAATTATATATATTTTTTATTGGTTCTTATAATGCCTAAAAAAAATCATAATCACTACTTCTATTTTAAATTTAAGACAATGCTGCAACTAGTTGTATTTTTATCCTATCTTTTTATTATATCATAGTCATTTTTTATTATGTCTTTTTCTAAAGACTGCTAACATCTTTTAAGATGCTAATATTTTATACTTGTTGAAAGCTTGCATTTTATTCTTAGATGTATTGCAATGTTATTTTATCTGACTTTTGAGGGCATCTATTGGTTAATGAATAAGATTTTTGGAACTTGCTAGAATACTTTACTACTTGATAAGAAGGTAGTTATTTTTTGTTTAATTTAATAATGGCCTTGGCTATAGTATAATATAAACAAAAAAAAAATCTTTGATTTTTGATGTATGAGTATAGATATCAAAAACTATTTTTTCTATTATTTGGTTGCATATTGAATATTCTATCTTTTCACCCAAATCTTCATACAAATAGGTGTAGTTTGGATTGCTTTAAAAGTAAGTTCATACTGCTTTGTTCATCACTTCTTATTTTGTGGCGTCATTTCTTTCATCATCATTATTGTCTTAAAATTCTTTATTCAATATTAGGAATTATTTTTTGTTGCAACTATCCTTGTATTTCTTAAAACTAAGGAATAAAATTATTAAGACAACATTTGATTTTGCACCATCTGCCTTTGTTTGTAGTTTTAAGATTAGAATTTGTAGCTAAAGAGATGGAACCATAGGCTAAGGGTTGTGACTTGAAAGATCTAAGTTTTCCTAGAGAAGGTATTTTAATTACTATCCTAATAGATTCAATATTTTGTTTATCTATTCTTATCTCTTGTAGTTTTCATCTTTCATCTTTGTCTTGTAACTCTAATCTATTCATCACATTTGGAATATATTATTATATAAAGACATCTTTTTTGGCTTCTTAAGTATCAAGACTTTGTTCCACCAGTCATGTTGCATTAAAGGTAATGATGAATGTTAACTTCTGAATCCACTTAATGCAATTGGCTTCAAAATTTTGTTGGACTGCTTTCAAGAGAAGGCATTTTTTTTCTATTTATTGAATCTTTTACTTCAATTCATTGACAATCATCCCTCTCCATTCTTTAACCTTATATATCTCTTGTTATAACTAAATATTTGTGGCAAGAAGTTTCTTATGGCATTATTTAGTCTTTTTGTTGGATATTTCTAATGGTTCAATCTATTGGTCTATAATGTCATAGATAGCCTTGTAAGCTACAATTGTGCCTTATGCCTCTTCAAGCTTGTATCTAGTATGTTATAAAAAAATTGAAGTTCATAGATGATATTTTTGTATTGGTTTATGGTACATTTTTGGTCCTTAATTATACCACATAAAATGAAATTATTTGAAGTACAACCTACTATACCATGTATATATTGCTCCATGGCCATATTGGCCTTTATAAGCCATATAGCACAATCTTTGTTGTCTTTAGTAAAAGAAAGGAAGTTGGCTGTTGTTTGAGATCACTTTGTTGAATATTAATTAATGATTTTTAAAAAGAGATAAAATATTTTGAATATTATTAATATAAAAAAATCATAGTGCTACTATGACTATATTAATAATAGATATTAGGATAATATTGGCCTTATGTATACCTCAGCTACAAAGGTAGTGGTTCATATAAGCATATTAGACTCTCGAGCTTTATTTGAGCTTGTAGAGTGTGTAATAAAGATGACATATCTTATGTTTGTATCTTGGTATAAAAAATCCTTTTGATTATTCAAAACAAACCTCTTCATCTAAATGGTTATTTAAGAAACTTGTTAGGCATCTATTTGATGGATTTTATCAATTTTTGTAAGCTATAGTACCAACTATTATTTAAATTGATTCCTATCTGAAAATAGGTACTAAAATTTCTTAATAATCAATGCAATGTTTTTATTAGAATTTGCGAGCAATTAATCAAGCTTTATAGTAGACAGCTTCAATATTTATCTTTAATTTTAATTATAAAATCTATTGTAAAATTATAAGAGTTTTTTTTAAAGTTAATTCTATTAAGTTTCAAGTGTGATTTTATTAGATTTAATTGTATTTGGATTTAATTGCAATATTCTAATATAGATTTTGTATAGCAACTTTAAAGATCAAATTTTTGCCATCTTCCATAGTACTAGCAAA